TTATGAAGCCCGCCTTGAGGCCCGCCTCGCCTCACTGGCATGAGGCTTACGCCTCATGCTATTTATATTAAAACTTACATAAATCTTGAAGTAAATGCCCGACATTGGACTCTATAGGAGAGGAGGAAGGGGAGAGAGCAGTTCATCATAATGATGATTCAAATGAAGAACCCCTTAGTGATAACAGTGCTGATGACTTTTGAGTTCTTATGTGATATGTCATTGCTATTTATTTTTGGAAATTTGGATTATATGTTAATGAAAAGAATATTAGGATTTGGTAAAGATAGAATTTTGAGTTGAACTATATTTCATGTTGTCATATTATCGGGATATTTTGATTTCACTTCATATCTTATGTTTTTTTATGTTTTATATTATTCACTCATTAGTATATAAAAAATTTATCATTTTATATTTACGCAATCTTTTGATTTTGAGGCTTACGCCTCAAAACGCTTTGAGGTTTACGTCTCGCCTCACGAATGAAAAACGCCTCAATACCCGAATACACAATTTTAAACATTGCTTTGACCAAAGACTAAAAAGTGATATACTGACAATTTTACACCTATAAGAACTTAAAAGCTACCGTATGAGGAGGATTATGGTAGCTGCCACTTCTATTTAACAATAAAAATGATATTAACCAAAATTTATGTCAGAAATTTGTAGGATTTCTTTAAGCTCATTTAAATTCACTATATGGCCACTAGAACAACATTGTAGTTATTATTGAAACCATATGAAAAAGAAATTATTTAAGTGACCACCAATGTTTAAAATTGCGTATTCGGTATTGAGGCGTTTTTCATTCGTGAGGCGAGGCGTAAGCCTCAAGGCGTTTTGAGGCGTAAGCCTCAAAATTGAAAGATTGCGTAAACATAAAATGATAAATTTTTTATGTACTAATGAGTGAATAATATAAAACATAAAAAAGCATAAGATATGAAGTGAAATCAAAATATCTCAATAATAAGACAACATGAAATATAGTTCAACTAAAAATTCTATCTTTCCCAAATCCCAATATTCTTTTAAGTAACAAATAATTCAAATTTTCAAAAATAAATAGCAATGACATATCACATAAGAACTCATAAGTCATCAGCACTGTCATCACTAAGGGGTTCTTCATTTGAATCATCATTATGGTGAACTGCTCTCTCCCCTTTCTCCTCTCCTATAGAGTCCAATGTCGGGTATTTACCAACGTTTAAAATTGCGCAATAAAAGGCACGCCTCAGCGCAATTTCGTCCATTTAAGCCTCAAATCCTATGCAATAAGTTTAGTTTATGAGGCTTACGCCTCAAGTTTACTGAGGCGCGCCTCGCCTCATATATTTAAGGCGTCGCCTTTTTAAAAATTAACCTAATTTTTTTTTTTAGTTCGGACACCCAGTTGCCGACATAGCGAGCCTAGTGAAATGTTGACATGACATCAACATTTAAACCCTTGTAAAGGTCGAATGGCGGAGTCGACGTTTCGATTTTCAAGTTACAGTAAACTTTCGAACTTTCAAGCATTCACGCCGGAGCAATTTCAAGCATTCTTCACTCAGTTTCTTCTAAGATGTCGCCACCCCCAAACAAAAAGGTAACTTAATGCTATGTTTTCTATTTCGTAATGCGTATTTTATGGTTATGCTATGCGTTGGTGTTCAAGGCTCTGAAGATCTTCGGATTTTATGCTTATTCTATGCGTATGTATGGCTTCTCGAAACTTTTTAAATGTTTGATACTTTGATGCCACCGTATTTTCTCTGTATTCAGGATTTACGATGAATTTATGTTGAAATTTGAAACATAAAATCTAACTAGATTGCTTCCATTTACGCGTTTTCTGTGCGTATTTTATGCGTAAAGTTTGAGTGTTCCATGCTTATGTTGTGTGTATTTTATGCGTGCATATAATTTGCTGTCATTTCTTTGCAATGTTCATTCTTATGCATATGTTATGCGTACACTGTGCGTATGTTATGCGTACAGTGTGCGTGGAAATTGCTTACATTGTGCGTATGTTGTGCGTTGTTTTTGCGTATCTCATTTACTTATTTTTTATTTTTTATTTTTTAAAATTTTCAGATATATGTTCGTCCAATAACCTATCGATGCTACGTTTCTACGTTTCGAACCAACTGTGATGACTTTGCTAAGCAAATTACTCATGACTTCTTGGACACATTGAGACGTTTAAAGATCATACAGTTTTTTGAATTTTTTGGGTTTGAGCAAAATATCCCTCTGATTTATTAGCTGATCTCAAAGTTGAACATTTCAAAACAATGCTTTGTTATAAAAGGTCAAGCCATTCCTTTCACGGCTGATGAAGTGACCCTTCTTACTGGTCTGCCAAATAAATGAGAAGAAATTTTCTGGCTTTCCTTAGCACATACTTCAGTTACATCATTGAAAATAAAGACAGACATGATGGAGATGAACAAGGAAACCCCCCCGAAGACTATGTTAAGAAACTTTATCATGTATTTATGTTCAAATTTACTTTTTCAACTTAACAACTTCAAAACCCCTAGGTTGCCTCAAAGAATAGCAAATAATCTAGATGAATTTTTGTCAATAAATTGGGCTAGTTCAATTAGGAAATTTTTAGTTGCAGAGTTTAATAAGGCATCCTCCAAGATTTCAAATAAGAAGCCAGCAGGTTACATCAATGGTTTTGTACCTCTACTAATTGTGAGTGCTAGGTGCTAACTGTTAAATTCATTCAAAATTTTATTAGCTCAATGAGAGCTAAAATTTTCTTTCATCTTATGCAGATTTGGTTCCTGAAGCATACTTCTTTTCATGCTTCATTGTATGCTGACAAAAGGCCCCATTTTCTACGATGGTCATCGGATATTGTATATACTACAGAGATGATTACTAACTTATTTTCTAATATAAGTAAAAGTCAGATTTATAATGTCCTCCAAGCAGTTACCCAGGATGAAATGGATATGGTTAATGTCAACAAATATCCATTAGACAGCCCCTCATGAAATATCGATCCATCAAAACAACCCCCCCCCCAATCTCCCCATCATACCCCACCTCCTCAGCAAGACCCCCACCCACCTCCTCAGCATGAACCCCAAAAAGATCCTCAGCAACCACAATTTAGTTTTTTTACTGAAGCACTTGAATCTCTCCAAGAAAGAATAATCAAATCCTGCCAAGAAACATGTACAAAACTTTTTCTTGAATTTGAAGGTAGACTGAGCAGAAAGTTTGAAGACCTAACTGAAAGAGTTGAAGTAATCGAGGTCAAGCTCAATAAATACATTGACCAAAGCAAAATACTTCCTGAGAAAAAATCTGTAAGCTACTCTTCTTCTTCTAACAAGAAACATAAATCAAATAACCCTCCCCACAGCCATAATAACCCAATCCCACAAAATCAGCCAAACCCAGGAGAAATGCAACTTATTCCATATACAAATTCAACTGAACCAATAGCAATAGATGAGATTCCTATAAATCCTGTAACTTATGTCTATGCAAGTGAAATAGAAAGTTACAAAAGTGTTCTGAGTTTGAGTCCTAAGAAGAAAAATTTTGTTCAAGAAAGTTTGAGAAAGTTTAATCGAAGGTAAAAAAATTGCAACTTTATTTATGTTTAAATATTTTTATGCGTAATGTATGTGTTAGTTATGCGTATGATATGTGTTACTTATGATTATGGTATGCTTATTAAACGCGTATGTTATGCGTATTTTATGCTTATGATACTTTTTTTGCAGGGACGATAGTATCTTGTTTGTTAATAACATTCTGGTTTCCAGATCTGATATTGACGACTTATTAAGCAACAGTTATTTAGGCAATGAACATGTAGATCTTTTTGCCCTTTTTTTAGATGAGAAGTATGAACTTATGCCTGACAAGTACCATAAATTTCTATACATATCTCCAATCTATTAGGTTAGTAACTTAGTATTCAATTAATCAGTTTAACTATTGGATTTGTAACTTACATTTACTACTTGCACTTGCAGAATAACAAAGCCAGGAAAAAATTGTCCAAATTGCAAATCGACCATATAACCGAGCTTTCTGTTTCTTCAAACAATATTTTATTACAGCCAATCATTGAATCCTCGCACATTACCCTTCTGGTTGGTTTGCTGAAAGAGCAAAAGTGGAAATTTTATGACTCCTTGCCCATGCCAGACCGTGTCAAAGAGCATAGGCTTGTTGTTCCAAAAATCGTAAGTGTTAGATGAACATAACTCTTTAATTTTTAAAAAAATTATATAACTAATCCTTGATCTACGTATTTTTCAGCTTAAAGCCCTATACTCTAACACGAAATGAGCTTTTAAAGGTGATATCATAAAATAGAAACTTTCTACCATTGAAGGTGTACCACAACAGGAGAACTCTATAGATTGTGGGATGTATGTTTGTAAATATATGAAAAAAATATGTCTTGAAAGCAACACTCATTGGACTGATAGTAGAAAGTATAAGGCAAAATTTGCATATGAAATATTTTGTAAAATATTGAAAAAATGACAGTTTTTCATTTTGTGTATAAATGTTTTTATGTATAAATGTTTCTGACTTTCTGTGTATAAATGTTTAAACAATTTCTGTGTATAAATGTTTATTTCTGAAGAATATATTTTTCAATTCTGTGTTTTTAAACGTTTTTAAATAATACGCATAACGCACGCACCAAATACGCATAACGAACGCAACAAATACGCATAACGCATGCACAAATACGCATAACGCACGCATAAAATACGCATATAGATTTTTCAATTCTGTTTTTTAAATGTTTTTTAATAATACGCATAACGAACGCATAAAATACGCATATGGAATGCATATAGTACTCATAAAAGACGCACATAGTACTCATATAACAAGCAAAAATTACGCAGAAAATTTTATTTATCAAATTATATTAAATATTTTAATTAATATATATCTTTGTTTTTAAGTTACTTACATTAAAATGATGAGGAATATGTTTTTTAAGTTACTTACATTAC